TTATTATTCTTGGCACCTGATGATGTTTTCTCAGCTTTATAATTAGTTTTTATTTACCAGGAAAAGCTCAGGCCAACGAGCAGCGCTACACTAAACTGAAGGAGAAGTACACGGAGCTGGTTCAGAGTCACGCAGACCTGCTCAGGAAGGTGAGGAGGACACAATAAATGTCTTCTTTGTTCTTTTCTATGTCCATAAAAAAATAACTTGGTGACATGTTGTCCTCCTTTTTGTGTGAAAGCTGCATTCTGTGTGCACTGCCTCCATGTGAGTATCAGTCACATGGAGGCAGGGCTTAAAAGCCTGAATTTTGCCTGAAACTCTCAGACTGAAGAAGTCTCTTGGAGGAGAGACGAAACGTTTCATTAGAGAAGAACCCGTCCAGAAGACCTATACAATTTTTTTCTTTTTGATTCTCTGTGCTGTTTCAGTAATTTATACAGTATATCAAAACGTTCAGCTCATTCAGGTGAATCTGAGTGTAGATTTTTGTTACATTTCTGATTTTAGAAATGTTTCACTTTATTTATATAAATACACTAAGATCTATTTTATTCTTCAAAAATATTCTCTCTGACATCTGCTTCTGTCTTGTTCTGTTTTGTCATCTTTTGCTGCTTTTAGCTTATTCTGCTACTTTTGGCTAGCCTTTTGCTTTGATTGATCTGCCCCTTTCAGCATTTAGCTAGTGCTCTGCTTCTTTTACCGTTATGTCCTCCGATCCAGCTGCTTCATCAAACTTCAGCATCATTTGACGTTCAGCATTTATGCTGAAAATGTCGGGTTATTTATTATTCCTCCTCCGTGAGGTTCTGAGGTCTGTTTTATTGACTTCAGTGGTGTTTGAGTACGTCTTCGTCTCTTGTCCCTTGGTGTGTTTGCAGAACGCTGAGGTGACCCGGCAGATGACTGTGGCTCGAGCAGCGCAGGACGAGGTGGAGGCGGTGAGGAAAGAGATGCAGGAGAAGGTGAAGACGGCGCAGGAGGCTGCAGACAGACAGGTTTGTTATCACAGCACTGTTTTACAGTGGTGTYTTTCTGCTCAGAGGATTTATCACTTCTTTGTTGGTGTTGTTGTTCAGGAGAGGGAGCAGCTGAAACAGCTGCAGGAGCTCCAGAGGGAGCTGATGTCCACCCAGGTGGAGCTGGACTCCCTGAAGACCACCATGGCCTCCTCACAGCAGGTCCCTCCTCTCAGCTTTATTACTCCTCTTTAGTTTTAACTAGCTTTACCTGCCCAACTTTAATATCCAGCACCTGATAGAAATGAGCACAAGAAGACTGACGATGTGAATCTATTTTACTGACTAAAAAGACACAGATGATCTTAATGAAGTCTAAAAATAACACACCTCTGGAGCCACTTTTTTCTAATGATTATTATTTAATCATCACATTGGCACAGTCTATTTAAAAAAATCATTTCATATTTTACATACTGACTTCCATACACTTGTGTTGTTTTCTGGATTGGATGGACTTTTATTCTGGWAGGATTTATATTTAGTGGGAAAACAAAGTCCTGACACACTGAGGCTGAACCTGGCTCATTAATTTAAGTCAAAGAAGTTCAACTTAGTTTTCTGATGCATTTACTCTTTAAAATCTGTCAAAAATCATTCTGTTACTCTTGATGTTTCTCCTTTTTCACTTTTATTGCCCTCTGGTGTAACTTTCTCTCTTCATCGCAGACTTAGCAATTGTTTCAGAGGATCACACCTCAGATTCTGATAGTTGGTGAAAAATAGTTTAGGCAATAAAATAAGCTGCTTACCATCACCTAATTCCCTCCAGTTTTTATTTTTTATTTTTGCGTGCCTGAAGAAGCAAAGCTGATGATTGTAGCAGGCATCAGAAGGTGTTTCTTTCAGCGTAAAAATCAAAACAACACAAGATGATGAAGCTCTTCTCAGTTAAGATTGTTATGTAAACTCTGGTGTTTAGTTCCTGTGGTTTAACGTAATGATGGAGCYTTTTCAAGATGTGACGGTGAACAAATAAAGTTCACGAGGGACTCACTAACTTGCTTTGACTCATAAATTCAAGCTTTCACTCGTCACATTCCCAGCTGTCCGCCGTCATCGTTCTCTCCTTCTTTTTTAGTTTTAGATATTTTTCTTCGCACTTTGTTTCCTGCTGTCCTGACATCTGTTTGAAAACCCTGTTTCTTCTTTTCCTCACTGATTTGAACTCTTCTGTTTCTTCATTTTCTCCTTTTCTGTCGGACCTGCTGACTCTCAGACTGTAAGTCTTTAAAACTATTTCAGCTCTCCTTCCATTATTTGTTTCATTTATATTCCTCTAAATTAAAAGTCTTCAGTAAACATCTCACATGTAACTAACTGCACTGTGTTGTAATACTTGGTGATTGTTGTATTGCAACAAAGTTGCACAACCTCAACTTCCCAGTTGGCCTCTGGTTGTCAACTTGACCTCAGCCCGGCTCTCTCTGGAGGATCCATAGCTTTGCACAAACTCAGGCCTAAACAATGCTGTAAATAACAGCTGACGATAAAGTGTGTTTTCATATTGTGGCCGGAGCACTCCCATCATACCACATCCTGTCACGTCTTTGTACACGAGAATAATTTACGTGTCTCTGTCCTCCTGACACTTTTTGTTCCTCGCTACAGTCGAGCGAAGTCCTCAGCACCCAGCTGGCCACCCTGGAGTCCCAGAAAGCCGAGCTGGTGCAGACTTTGTCGAAGGTGGAGGCGGAGCTAGCGGTTCAGGGGGAGGAGCTTCAACAAATCCAAAGCTCTTTGGCGACTGAAAGGGAAAGTGGAGTGAAGACGGCCGAAGCCCTGCAGAATCAGCTCAATGAGAAGGTTGGAGAACTTTCTCAGTTAGCTGAAAATATTCCATTTAAGTATCGTAACATAAAGTTTGACGTGTCGACCCACAGGAGAGCAGGGAGCAGGCTCTGGAGAGCCAGCTGGTGGCGGCTCGCTGGTCCAGTCTGCAGGGAGCTGTGGAGGAGGCAGAGAGGATCATCCAGGACTCTCTGGCTCAGATCGACGACCCGGCACACATCAGCTGCACCAGCTCTGCAGGTCCGTCACTGATGATTGATTTCAGCGCCGGGACACTTATCATCTCTCTGTTCAACGTCTGCTTGTGTTCTTTCTCTGCAGACTACCTTGCATCAAGATGRCAGGCCTCTTTAGACTGTATGGAGCGATTACACTGTGCCAGAAACAACTTCTTAACAGACAACACAGGTGAGACACACACCTCTGAATACGTACCATGCCAAAGAAAGTTGCCAGTGTGTGGTATTAAAAAGAGGAACCGTGTAAAACTTCACGTTTTTAATGATGTTTTTGTTCTTTTCCTGTTTTCAAGCAGCTGTGACGGAGCTGGTGCGAGTGGTGACCCAGTGTGGCCACCTGGTGGGCGACACCATAGTTCAGGGTAGTGCCACCTCCCACATGGTGCCTGTGGAGCAAGCTGATGGTGTGTGTGTGTGTGTGTGTGTGTGTGTGTGTATGTGTGTGTGTGTGACGCAAACAGTGTCTCCCGATGTTAATCTGTGCCTGAGGCAGGCGTGGACTTGCACCGATTTGTCTGCAAAGATCTGTCTTCATGCACTAGAACCAAACAGTGGAGCTGAGCTCATGTTTTCATGTTTGCAGCGTTGCAGAGTAATCTGCAAACCTTTGCACATCAAAATAATCCCGTTCACAACAGTTATGCTTCGGTTGCACAAGCACAAAAAAAAAATGCGGTGATTGTAACTTGTAAACGTCACTTTTACAACCAATAATGTTTTGAAAAGTAACTTTTAACTCTATAAGTGAAGTTGAGTGTAAGTTTGTTAAAATGCTACGACACAAAAAACATTTTTTTCTAGTTTTATTGGAGAGAAAAATAAAAACACTTAAAATATTTTTAAGAAAATAGTTTTCTTAAATTTTTTAAAGAATTTCTTTCATAGAATTGGCTACTAAACGGTCATGAGTATTAAAACTAACAAAATAGCATAAAGTCCTGATGCATCTCAGTAATCCAGGTAAAAAATCAAAGGAAAAAAAATTGTATAGGTCCTCTGGATGGGTTCTTCTTTAATGAAACGTTTCGTCTCTCTTCCAAGAGACCTCTTCAGTCTGAGAGTTTCAGGCAAAATGCAGGCTTTTGAGTCCTGCCTCCAGGTGACTGATACTCACATCACCTGGCTATCGCRCACAGGTGAAGCGATAGCCAGGTGATGTGAGTATCAGTCACCTGGAGGCAGGACTCAAAAGCCTGKATTTTGCCTGAAACTCTCAGACTGAAGAGGTCTCTTGGAAGAGAGACGAAACGTTTCATTAAAGAAGAACCCGTCCAGAGGACCTATACAATTTTTTTTCCTTTAAAATAGCATAAAATTACAACCTCAAYAATTGGTATATTTAAGGGGTAAATCAAAACAGAATGCAATGACTTACATATTTTATAAACCCATATTTGATTTATAATGTAACAGTAAACATCAAATGATTAAACTAAAATTTTTTATTTATTTTTTGATAAAATATAAGATGATTTTAAATTTATTGGCAGAAAAAACAGTAACAAAAAGGCTGTAAATGTCAGTGGTACAAATAGACCGGAATAAGGATGAAATACTGTTGTTCTGTTAATCCGCACGTCTTTCCACTGTGGTCAAATTATAGTTTAAATTTAGCCTTCAGGCATGTTTTAATCAAAACATTCAGAGAGGACAAACCTGCTGACTTCATAAACGAGTAATGTTTTTTTTTTCCTTCTCCCTCTGAAGGCAAGTCTGAGCATGCCCAAATATAACGAAGGTCTGGTCACAGGCCATGTTTCTGCACCAACAACACAAACAGGAACTCTGAATTAATCCAGATTAGGACGTGTAACTCAGCCTGCAGTTAGATACAGATCAGCTGCATGTGGAAAAAAAAAACAAGTAGTTTTGCTTTTACTGCCGTCTGAGACGATGGTTTAATGAACTCAGTGGTAGTTAGAGGGAACTGAAGGCTCGATGTGTTTGTTTTATTTTTATTTTAGTTGTTTGTGGAAAAGAGAACAGAAATTCTTGCTTCAGATCATGGCTTGTTGTTGTTTTTTTATGTCCTACCACGAGTTATTTTGGTGACGATCTGTCCCYTGTGGTGTTTGTTTCAGCTCTGTCGGAGAGTGTGAAGCTGTGCGGGGCAGAAGCTCTGGCTCTGCTGGGACACATGAAGCAGCAGGACAGCCTGGCCGCAGCCAACGACAACAAGCTAAAAGCCGCCTTGGAGGCCGTTCTGGCGGCTGCAGAGGTCCACGCTTCATAACTCTTTATAAAGTTCCTACAAGACCCTCGTGTCCCAGTGTTGCAGGTGAATGTTTCCAGCGCCTTGTGACGACACGTTCAGTAAACGCTCTCGCTTTCTGCTGTTGCAGAAACTTCGCCCCCGAGGTTTGGAGCTGCAGCAGGGGGAGCTGGGAGATCTGGTGGAGCAGGAAATGGCTGCCACCTCCGCTGCCGTGGAGTCGGCAGCCGCTAGGATAGAGGTGAGCGCCTCTGTGTTTATCTGTGGACTTGCTGTGAGAAATCACTGCCCTTTGGTTTCACTTCACTAGAGGGTTAACTTCAAAATGTCCCTTTTTTTTCATCTTCTTCCTCTGTATCCCTGCAGGAAATGCTCAACAAATCTCGAGCAGTTGACACAGGAATCAAGATGGAGGTCAACGAGAGGTAAAACTGATCGGACCCAGATTGTGGGATTAGTTTTCCTCTGTTTTTTTATCAAATGCAGACGTGAAATACAGCTCTCATTATTGGCTTAATATAAAAGGGCAAAACCTTTTGGTCTGACAAAGCAAAGTTCTTGTTTAAAGGAGTCAAACTGTAAACGAGTCAATGAGACATTTTCCTTTTAATGGCTCGATTTATTCTGTCAGTAGCAACTTCATTATTTGAGCCACTTCCTGTAAAGTCTTGTAGCAGTAAGTTAGCGAACTGTTCTTTGTGGTTTGTGATTTATTTATTTTTAGTGAAACCGCATCACTGGCTTGTGATTGTTTGTTGTTTCGAGCTCGAATCATTGTGATTGTTTGTTGTTTCGAGCTCGACTCATTGGTCGCTGCTTAAATGAGCTGTAGGACTGGACCATAACATGGATCACAGCGTTAAGTCTGAGTGAAAAATGCTGCAGACTCTCTGCACAAATGTCTTTTTAAAATGTAGGACAGACCGAACAATCTACCAAAGACACTGATCAACTTTTTATTTTACTTTGACTTTATTGAACATAATGTAATAAAAGAATAAATAGTTATAAACAGAAGAAAATAAATTTAAAACAAAAAGCAAGCAAAAGAAGGATAGTGAATTATATTTACACATTCAAAGGAGTGTGTACAAATATAAACTTCAATTCATAATAACTTGGTTATAACATTATTTCTTATTTAGTTTTCTTTATATCCACATCTATAACTGGTACAAAGCATTCATATTTGCATGCCATTAAGAGCAAGCATCCATAATTTCAACATGTTAATTTTTCTAAATCAACTTGAGGAGTCAGCAGTTCGCAGCTGATTAACTTTAGCAAAAACAAAAATGTTCAATAACTCAGTTTTAAAGACTTCTAGTTATGATTTGGTGTGGTGGTAGCTGAGAGTTGTCGTCGAAACACACCCAAACGTCAGCAAAACACTCGTTGCTTCAGTCGTGGTAACGTCAGACAGGAGCCATAAACTGGGTCATTTAGCTCTGCTCATCACTGCAACAACTCAAGACTTTAAAACCACTGAYCCTTACAGTACTTCTTCCATCTTTATATAACATTTATATAAACAGTGGGACTACATGTCCAGATAAGCAAAGTTTTTACTCACAAATAAGCTCAGAGAGCAAAAAGTTCTGAGCCTGTTCTGCTAAAACAAGTTATCTTATGAAATCAGGTTTCCTAAAATAAACGTGGCGTCCTCTTTCCCTAAAACTCTTAGTTGCTCCTATAAAAACAGTCTAAAACCATGGATTTAAATAAAGGTTAATAAAATAAATAAAACTCAAGTTCGTGCCTAAGTGTTGAGTAATATTAATTATGAACAGATCAACCAGCAAACTAGTTATTTGTGTCGTCCGTGTTAAAAAGGTGGAAGCAACGAGCTGTCAGACCCTGAACAAAGGAGCCATGTGACATATTGATGCTTTTCACACAGAGTGCTGACGTACAGAGAATCTCATCAATACAGATACAAACAAAGTGTTCGTGCTCTGAAGCCGCGGTGCCTAGTGACGTCTGTCGCTGCAGCAGATTCAGTTTTATCAGAGTTCAGTGTTGACACCTGCGAAGAAGAGAGATCTTTTCACGTCTCTCCTGTAGAGTTAAAATAAAATCAACTTTTGAAGTAAAAAGCTGAAAAGAAACTCTGCTGCTGCGGAGGTTCTTTATGAAATCAGCTACAGSTCAGTGACACGGGGAGCAAACAGTGATTTCTCTCTGCTGCCGCTGTTGTCTTTATTTAAAAAATGGAGCAAACCCTTCAGCTGCAGACCTCACAAGCTCTGCAAGTCAGACAAACATGAAACTGTACCCCATTTCAAGTTCTGATAGCTCTGAAGCTGATTCATTGGCTTTACAATCGCAGGATGTCAGCGTTTGTTTTCTGTCGCCTCCTGCAGGATCTTGGCTTCCTGCACGGAGCTGATGCAGGCGATCAAGGAGCTCGTGTTGTCCTCCAAAGATCTGCAAAGGGACATCGTGGAGAGCGGGAGGGTGAGACAGTTAATGTTTTTTTTCCCTCTCATTTCACCTCCTCAATTTAAAGAAAAAAAAAACGACAACAGAAAGGTCAAATCCCTGATTATTTCTGTGATAAAACACAGAGTTTAGGCGTTTTGGTGACGTGTTTGCTTCACTGTCCACCAGGGGGCAGCATCCACGAAGGAATTTTATGCCAAGAACTCCCGCTGGACGGAGGGCCTGATCTCTGCCTCGAAAGCAGTGGGATGGGGCGCCACGGTCATGGTGTAAGTTTAAAAACGCCTCCGTTCATTGAMTCACAAACGTTGGAGACTTTCTGAACTCTAAACGAGCCGAAGAGTCGGAAAAATGAAACCAGAACCTGTGTTAACCCGAGTTTCTTCTTAACCTCCACCTTTAAACCTGACTCTGAGCTGATTTATCTCCATGTGGCTGTGTTGCAGTGACGCGGCCGACCTGGTGGTGCAGGGCAAAGGGAAGTTCGAGGAGCTGATGGTGTGTTCACGTGAAATAGCTGCCAGCACAGCACAGCTTGTGGCTGCTTCCAAGGTAAACATAGTAGAAAACTAAAAAGTGGGGGAGTTTTTGTTCTCCCAGCAGTGTGTTTGTTATCGTAGTAGTTCTACTGCAGGATGTTTGCACGCTCAAGCTGTTCGGCTCAGGGCTTCCGTTCACTGGACTTGTTCTGAGCAACGCTCTTATCGCCGCCGTCCCCTCCTCAGGTGAAAGCAGACAAGGACAGCGCCAACCTGCGCCGTCTGCAGCAGGCGTCCCGCGGCGTCACGCAGTCCACCGCGGCTGTCGTCGCCTCCACCAAGTCCGGGAAGTCCCAGATCGAGGAAACAGGTGAGGGTTGTTTACACGGTAACCCGATTCTGTTTGTTTCCTCTGCTTTTCTGTTAATTCAGCAGTTTGTTCTTTTCATACCATTTAAAGTTTTATAATTCTCTTTTTAATTCAGTGTCTGTTTTTGTTTTCAGAAACAATGGACTTCTCCAGCATGACCCTCACACAGATCAAGCGACAGGAAATGGACTCACAGGTAAACAGCAGGAGGACAGTTAGGAATAATAACGCACCACACGAGTTTCAAATATTTGATTTGAATTAAATGAAGTGTATTTTCAGTTAAGAGCTTTTTACAGCTTTCCTGTCAGTGACGCTCATGACACAAGAAAAAAATCCCTCAGTTGGAGTTAATTATTAAAACTGAAACAGTGAAATTTGAAGCTGTTTGACTTGAAGTCTTAACAGACTCTGGTGGCTTTCAGCCACAATAATCCAAGTGTTTCTACGTGACCATTCCTCTGTGTTAATCTAGTTTAAAGGGATAGTTCAGATATTTYAAAGAGYTTCTGTGCAAACATGATGCATCATAAATCACATCACATCCGCTGCACATTTAATAACCATGTTACACTACAATGCTTTACAGCAGAAACTCGTGATCAAACTGTCTCTGGTTAAAGCTCACAAATGTTGCTAAAAAGTGAAATAAACAAGAATATGACATCACACAGTTACAAGAACTGTTACATATAGGTTTTTTTTATTTATGCATGACTCCTGGTTTGTAGATTTTATAACAAGAATCAAAAGAGTATTCTTGATTTCTGGAAATGATCTTTAAATCTCTTCTCTTGGTGTTTCATTTTGTTCACAGGATAGAAAATCAATAATTTTGATAAKCCTTTATTTTTCTGTCAGTGGGTTTAAGTGTTTTTTATGTTTATTTGCTATCACAGTAAGTAGCCTGGGAGAACCTCCTTCAGGAATATAATAAGTTAAATTTTAAAAATCAAACCTTTTCTCCAAACTGAGGTCATTCAAAGAGTTATTAGCAGCAGGTTAGGTATTGATTGCTCATAACCTTTCTTCAGAACCACACTTTCATATGATCTAAACCAGTAAGGCTTGTGCATTTTAATTTTTGTTTTCCTCAGGTCCTAGTCCTGGAGCTGGAGACTCGTCTGCAGAAGGAGCGGGAGCGTCTCGGCGAGCTGAGGAAGAAGCACTATGAGTTGGCCGGAGCCTCGGAGGGCTGGGGCGAGGAAGGGGAAGGTGAGGACCAACGCCGACGTCCTGCCAGTGAGGAATTTTTAACAAGTCTGGCCTCTTAAATGTTTAAATTCTCTGTCCTTCCACAGGTACCGGGTGAGAGCCGCCACCCCTGACGCCCCTCCTCCTCCTCCTCCATCAGAAGACTGGCTTTTGTCCACCTCGTTTTATTTATAGACACACTTTACTGTCTTCGTCTCTGTTCCAGTTTTATTTCATTTATTCGCTTGTTATCTAAAGCCAAATGAAACGGTGCCCCCCCTCTCCCTCCCATCGCCCGGGGCTCAGCGACAGCAGGGTCCCAGGTGAACGGATGTAAGGGTGAGAGAAACGTCGTCACTGCTTCACCTCCGGATGATGCTGCGGGTTTTGCACAAGYGACAAACTCTCAGCAGCGAACGTGCACAATGCATATTTCTGCCTACCTTAAACAGCATATTCTTATATCTTTTAAAACTTTTATTTTATTTTTATTTTGGCGCTCGTTCAGAGCTCTTCTGCTCCTGAGTTCCTCCTTGTTTTTTTTTTTCTCACTGTGAGTTGAGTCCAGGCCGCTCCACGGGCCGGTTCTCTGGACTTTCTGCCTTTCACGTCCTCACCATTGTAACGACCYTGACTGTTAAATTAAGCACCCCCCACACACTTTTTTTTTTTCACACAAATGCTAGTGTCCGCGGGGTTTGAGGGACTGAAAACACTGTCATTCTTTAACTTCTCCCATTTTTTAAAAAATTGTATTTTATCCTAACTTTTATAAAACGGGGCAACAAGAAGCAACCCTCGCGTATTAAATTAAAAAGCTTAGTTGTTCTGCAACGTTTCTATTTAATTTACGTCTCACAAGGCCATTTTAATAAACCTTCAGACCTTTCACTGATGTTCTTTTTAATAATAAGTTTAAAGCGTTCATGGAGGCAGACGTTTTCTCGAAAAAGCTGCACAAGAAGCAAAACATCTGTTTTTAAAAGTTCGAATCATGTTTGTCTTGGAACTGGTGTCGCCACCACTGCACAAACCTTTCCAGTGTATTAAAAGTCTGTATTCTTTAAAAAAAGTTATTTTTATCTAAAAGCACCATATTTTGCCAGTGATTGATTTAACAGTGCACCTGAACGCCACACGGCTGTAACAAGTCATCACATCTCTCAGAAAACGTTTCACAGAATCGATCAAACTTTCTAACAGCGACGCTCCGTCTCAGCTGGGTTTTTAACCAACGCTGCTCAGTATTAGCAGCTTTAGCTTCTTCCTTTTGAACGTGAGGCTCGGAGCACTTGGAGGAAAAGTCCGATAAGAAACTCGTCGACGACTCTGAAACGTTTCCTTTTCGTCGCCGTCTTTCTGCTGCTGCGACCAGGTTAAAGCATCACCTGCAGTACTGTTACTTCCAGGCTCCGCCTCTTCCATCACGCCTGGATTAAACTCTTAGCTGATTTCATCAGAAACTGTAATATATAAACCAAGTGAAGATCTTTTTCAGTTGTGTTTCAAGTGTCTTGAATGATGAAGTGCACACACTTTAAGTAATGTTTTTGTTTTTTTCATTTTGCCCAAATACTTTTTAATTAACCTTTTTTTTTTTTTTTGGTTTTTTCTGGTTTGTGTCTGTAGTTGTACCAGCTCAGCCAGCCTTTCAAACTGCCTCACACTGTAGTCAGAAACAAATACTCACATAGCAACATTGATGAAATGTGTCTTTGTATGATATTCTACTAAAACAATGTTGGTGGGTTTGTTTTTATTTTTCCAGTTTTTGAAATAAATACTTCAACTCATTAATGTGGACTGGAGGCTTGCTGTTGTTTTTACATTTTAAATATTTTCATTTGTTTTGCCTTTTTCATATTGTTAAATAATTACATCTGCCACTCAACTGAAGGCTATTTTGTAGGCAGGTGTGGTGAATTCCTTCATCTTGTCATTCTCAGTGAAGCAGATAAAAGGCCTGGAGTTGATTTGAGGTGTGGCGCTTGAATTTAGGAGATTTTGCTGTGAAGAAAACGTGCTGTCAGAGGAGCTTTCCAGGAAGGTGAAACAAGCTATCCTGCGGAAAAAAAACATCCAAGAAATTGCTACAGTATTAGGAGTGGCAAAATCTACAGTTTGGTACATCCTGAGAAAGAAAGAAAGAAAGCACTGATGAACTCTAAGGTAAAAAGACCTGGACGCCCACAGAAAACAATAGTGGTGGATGATGTAGAATCATCTCCATGGTGAAGAGAAACCCCTTCACAACAGCCAACCAAGTGAACAACACTCTCCAGGAGGTGGGCGTATCAATATCCAAATCTACCATGAAGATAATACTGCATGAAAGTAAATACAGTGAATTCACTGCACGGTGCAAGCCACTATGAAACATCTAAAAACAGCAGCACAGTTCTGGAAGAACATTCTTTAAACAGATGAACCCTCAGATCAACCTCTACCAGAATGATTGAAAGAGAAAAGTAAGGTGAAGGCGAGGCACAGCTCATGATCCAAAGCATACCTCATCATCTGTAAAACACAGCAGAGCAGTGTGATGGCTTGGGCATGCATGGCTGCCAGTGGCACTGGGTCACTAGTGTTTATTGAAGATGTGACACAGGACAGAAGCAGCCCAATGAATGCTGAGGTATTCAGAGCCATACTGTGTGCTCAGATCCAGCCAAATGCAACCAAACTGACTGGTTGTTGTTTCATACTACAGATGGACAATGACCCAAAACATAAAGCCAAAGCAACCCAGGAGTTTATTAAAGCAAAGAAGTGGAATATACAGTATTTGAATGGCCAATTCAATGACCTGATCTCAACCCAACTGAGCATGCCTCCACACACACATGATCGAGGACTTATGAGTAAATACATCACTGTAATCTAAAACCAGTGCTGAGATTACACAAATCCCTAATCTGGGCTAAAATGTGTTCAGCTGCATCTTTTGTTTGTTCCTCGTATCAACAGACTTTCTGAGATGGCAACAAAAAAATTTCTAATTTTCACTAAAGTTTTGTACGAGTTAATAACCGTAAAAACAGTTTATTTGGTTGTTAATGTTTTAAGGTGTGTAGATTTGTGTCTTTGCAGTTAAACAGACACGTCGGCCTCTTTTATTTTACTGTTTGTAAAGATCATAAACCTGCAGCCCAAAGCAGCAGCGATGCTGTTGTGTTGGAAATCCTGACAGTTTTGGCACAGAGGCAGACAGAAACGTTTCCAAAGGTCATCAGAGGTCAACCTGACACCCCCATATTACCCAAATACTGGACCTTTTATTAATATCTTAAAAACAATAGCAGCACAAACGTTTGACACCAATTGTGTTATATTTGAACAAGGGGGGGGGGGGGGTCCAACTTCACTCAGGTGGGCATCAGTGCTAAGCACTGGTGCATCATGCTGCCACCTTGTTGAACTTCCTGAATGAGCTGAATGTTTTGATTCACAAAGGTTTAAAACAGCTGAAAATGTGTTGAAGTAAAATTCAAAAGGCATACTGAAGAAGTCAAAGACAGGAAAACATAAGGACAAATGCTGACTCAGCATTCAGACATATGACTTGGCAGTTTACGTGGCTCCAAGGCTCGCTGCTGTCCATCTAAAAGTAAATGTTTTGATCTAACTCAGTGTTCAGTCAGTCCCTGATCRTCTGAACAAGCTTATATCTCCACATTGTGATGTTTTCATTTCGTCTCGCTAAAAACTGGACTGAGAAGCTCAGCTCAGCTCTGCTCCCTGGTCCTGGTCCTGATCCTGGTCCTGGTCCTGGTCCAGCGGGCCGTGGAGCTGCTGTTCTGTCACACTCACACTGTAGTGGGTGCTGGCTGCCAGGAGGGCAGGTTGAGCTATTTATAGCCTCTGCAGTCCTGAGCTGGACCCCTTCCAGCAGGTCTTCTAGCGTCCGCAGAGTCTGGGTCTGACCGAGGGTCCACCGGGGACAGACCAGCCTCACATAGGATTTTATTGAAAGTCTATGGACAGTTATTATCTTACCTGTAGTGGCAGCTGGTCAATAGGGGGCGCACGTCCCCCCCGCCCCCCAGTATTTTTGTACACAAAAATAAAATAAAACAAAATAACAAAAGAAAATGTTATATATGTTTCGACAATATATCGTAAATATTTTTTCTGATAAGCAAAAATAAATAATTTATAGTTATTGATGTGTAAACTTGTATTTTACGCATAAACGTTTTCGTGTGAGTCACTTCCAGGTCACGCTGTGTTCGGCGCCCCAGAGTCCCACACACAACTCGTGAAGATTTTGGTCATGCYCAGTAAGTCCTCATTGCAAAAGAATAGGGTGACCTGGGTTCGCAGCTGACCTGCAAACACAAAGCGGTACCCCGTGTCGACGACTCAGCGACGTCCTGTCAGTGTGACGGCCGGCAGGCAGAGATCACGAGGTGGATTTTGGAGACGAAGCTAGTCGAGAAAACGGAGGAGAAAAACAACACAGTCAAGTCCCTTACAGCTGAACATTTTCAAAGCAGAACATATGAGGAGAAACTTGAAGTGAAGTAACTTGTACTGAATAAGCCAGACATAATGAAAATTGAGCAAGAGTGTGGCGTAGTTAGATTGTGTTGGTGTTCCTTTTTTTTTTGAGCAGCATATAATATAAATAATTGTGAACACAACTTAATTTAATATAAAGATATTTTTATGTTTCAGTTTAGTTTTTTGTAAATTACTATTGTTTGAATTTATTCTTGGAAAGGGTTTGATATTAGAAGATATTTTTATTCTTTCTGCTGCCTTTCATTTTAATAATATGTTTTCTTCTGTTGTGCGTAGTTTATTTTGTTTTTTAATAAAATGAATTCATTTTTAAAATAAAAAATAATTAATAGTTTACCTTAGAGATGCAACAATTTGTTGCTATCAAAATAACATTAATTGTTCTCTATATATTGAATACATATTAGAAAGTTCACTTGTTGCCATCTCCATATTGAGTTAAATATGTGCATTTATTGTTTTAGGTTTATGACATCATCTTGAGCCATTCACAGAACATCTGATCAGAGCTACAGTGCTGCAGGCAGACAGGTTCCTGCAGGACAGTTCTCTGAAGCAGCTCTGAAGACCAGGACACCTTCAGAGACTGTGACTCTGCTGAAGACTCTCATCACATCTCCTCTGARCACAGCTGAATCTGAGAGGAGCTTCTCAACACTGCAGACAATCCAGACTTTCCTCAGGTACAACATCACATCTCACTGCACTGACCATGCTATAAAGAGAACAATCTGGTTAAAACATCCCTGACATTAAACAGAGTCATGAAGAAATTTGTTTCTCAGTAACAGGAGAGCAAAATTTATGTACAAAAAATAAAACACTACATGACATTGTAATGGTGTTTTATTATTTTCATTTGTTTAATAAATACACTGTTGTGATACAACTTAGTACATYTTTGATTGCTTTTGGAGATGAGCCTATTTTGGAGTTGTAGCCCCCCCCAGAGAAAAATCCACCAGCCGCCACTGCTGTTGTAGATAGCTCTTTGAACAAATTCAGCTTAGAGAAATATGAGTTTAACTCAGAATTCTTGTGCGATTTCACATTAATGATCATTGAGCTGTTTTTTACTTTAACACAATACTTGTTTCAAATTGGATTTAAGGATATTCTAACTGTGCAGACGGTTCAGCAAAGCGCTGTTTTCACCTAATTTTAAACATCAGTAAACATGAAGGAGCTCAAACTGAGGAGATGAGTGTAGAACTCAGTCTCAAACTTCAGCTGCAAAGAAAATGTCTTTGAAAATGTCTAGAATCTGCTCAGACCATGTTTCTTCTGCGTATATATTTTAACTGTATGTCTGCTGGAGATGCTTGGTTCTTGTCCGCGTTGTCCAACATTTCCTCTTTTTTTCACCTCATACGGGTCGATCCAGACAGTAATGATTTTAACTTTCCCTCGAAAATTTGTCAAAAGTATCTATGTATGTTTTCAAGTCAGAGTTGATGACAGCGATGTTARATTGTACACATCCGAATGAGATTTGGGAGGATTCTGACCAGATTGTCAAGTCATCAGCTTGTTTTTGAGGTTGATAAACAGTTATTTTATTTATTTATTTATTTATTACCATTTATTAAAATGTACCAAAGCCCCCCACATTTTTTAATCAAAGTAATTCAACCTTTTTGTTATGATTTATTCTTATAAGGAGCTTGCATTGACCCCATTTTTCACCAGATGATGTCTAATTATTCTAATAAGATCACCAGAAAAGGGCTTGCTTACTCTAAATATAAAATAAAGAATCTAACTTGCATATTTATTTTTGTCAGAAGTCTTTCAGACCCTCAAACCTGGTTTATGTGATCAGCTATTAACTCATCAAACTTCAGCTCAATGCCTGTGAAATTACAGTCAGATTTGTGTTTTCTAAAGTTGACTCTCTATGGCGGCCATCTTAAAGAGATGACTCTGTTCAGTTGTAGATGTGCATCGACTTTCAGTGAAATCTGTCCACAGGGCCATGAAATATTTTGCTAACAGGCAGACAGCTGAAGTGGATGACTCAGCTACAGCCCCACTGAATTTAATCTTGATATAAAACACAGACTGAGTTACGGCCGTGTTGTCGTGCTGTGGCAGCCTTCTTAAATTAGATTGATTCATGGTTATCTAGTCATAGATGCACGTTTTATTTTTATATAAAAATATACAAGTTTAAAATTTACAGGTTTCATTATAACCTGTCCCGTGGTTTGAGATATTTTGCTAACAGATAGACTAACAAAAAAGTTGGGTAAAGTTTATTAGATGGACAGTTCTGCA